GTTTTCAGAGGGATTCTCCAGACTGAGCCTGAACAATTTGTCCTCTCAGATTAAACCGGGTCCTTTTTTGCTCTCAAAAAAAGTCAGAAAATCTGAGTTCTCTGGACTCTGGTTTGATCAGCGTCTCATGTTTGAGTTTTATCCAGAAAAAGCCGTTTGTGTCATTTTAGGCAGTTAGATGGACGAAAACCAGAGTTAGGACTTAAAGGAGCCTAAAGCTTTAAATTGGAAAGTCTGTTTTGTTTGTTTAACAATGCAAACGACTCCAGAAGTGAGTTCAAATCTGTTTCAGTGTTCAATGGAGAAATTAGAGGACTTTCAATAACATGTAGGAAAAGATTAGAGCCGATTTTGGAAGGAAAAAAGTCAGAAAAATCTGAGTTCTCTGGACTCTGGTTTGATCAGAGGCTCAGATGTCAGAAGCTCAGTTTTATCCAGAAAAAGCTCAATAAATGGAGGCGTTTGTGTCCTTTTGGGAAGTTTGATGGAAGGAAACCAGAGTCAGGACTTGTTTGCTCTTTACAAACTGGAAAAAATGCAAACAACTCCAGTAGAGACTTCAAATCTGTTTCAGTGTTCCTTGGAGAAACTTTTTGGCTTTTTTCTGCAGCTCTGGAAAAAATTTAAGAGACTTTCAGTGTGTTTAGAAGAAAGTTTGAGCCGATTCTGGGGGGAAAGTGGCAGAAAATCAATTTTTTTCAGCCCGAACAGGAATGAACAGTTGCAGGTATTAAAAGTGAATAACACTAGGTGGTGTGCCCTGCATGGTTTGGCCCCCCAGTCACGGCCCTCAGGGCTCTGGGAGGATGTAGGAATATGCAGGACGCCCGCCCTCACCAGCCGGAGGCCGGGGGCGGGGCTTAGTGTCCGACGGCGTGGAACGGGCCTGAACGTCTCAGCCAGAGCTACGCTCCCATCAGCCACCAGGGCAGAGCCAGGAGACCAGTCCTGGATGCCCACGTCGGGAAAAAAAGGGTTTTACGGCCTTTAACTCATTGGCTGCCAAAGACGTCTATAGAGGTCTTTTATGTTTTTTAACGAGAGTGTCTGGGGGACGATCTGCTAAAGCTTGTCCGTAAATATGGGCTTCTAGACAGAGTATGTAGTAACAAATTGACCCTCTAGGGGGCAGTGCCACTTCTGATGGGAGATGAGCATAGACTGTAGGCAAATAAGAAAAAGGGAACGGTTCTATGAGAGAACATGTCGCCGGTGAGACGCAAGTCCAGGAAGAACGGAATAAGGTAGAAACACTTTTTTTTTTCCTGATGAAAGAAGAGAGTCTACTCTTTCTTTTGGTGTGTTCGGTGTTTACATAGTCATAGCACAAACTATTCTGTGGCTCTTGAAAAATC